CTCCTAACAAACTAGCAAATATCACTCTCCTACAGATGCCGTACTTCTTCTGTGCTGTAACTGTACAGGAAGAAACTCAATCATCGCCACCTACAGGATCGGCAGGGGAACTAGTGACAGCTGAGTGAGCAAAACCGCACAGACAGATTCTTCTTCTTCTTCTTTTGGTTTTATGGCGGGTTGCGAACCAACTTCAGACAGATTCTGTTATTGCAGGCAGGGTTTAAGTTGGGCCGGGGCCGTCCGGGGCTGAGCCCTGGCACATATAGACTCCAGGGCTCGACATTAACGCCAGACAAGTAACACGATTAAAACATCAGTAACCAAAAATAACTATGTAAACACCAAAACGCAAGTACTATTCTGATTTTACTACATTTAGAGCAAGTGGCGAATAGTGGATATAGCTACTGTATATAATGCATCTATTGACAGTATAAGGTTGCGCTGCTGAGGTGAAGCTCAAGCCTCTCCAGGAGAAATCAAAACGCGCAACACTAAGAAACTCAGCATCCTGAGGTAAAAATTCAAAATGCCAAGTTTTATATTTAAAATACAGTTAGTTAGGCAACATCACACAACGTTTTCACCATCATGACTGTTTAATAGTTCTATAAATAGTTCAATAAGCAAATTAAGTCACTTACATTTTAGGCGGAAACACACAACGCATCTCACAGCAACCAGCCGACTCATTGCTGATTGATTGCGTGTTTTGAACGAATCGGTTGAGTCAAATTTTCATCAGCCGATGCATAAACATCTGATGAATCTGCCGTTTGAACGAATCGTTTGAATTAACGACTCAATGACTCACTCATTAAACGCTCACTACTGGCACTGGCGTTTTAATTTCGTTGAAAAGCATAATTTCCACCATAATTTCTTGCTTGTATATTCAAAAATATTTAAAATAATCTCATAATATTATTTAATGCAGTTGTATATTTCAGTGTAAATGATTTAATTTGATAAAGTATAGATAATCACATTATTATAATTGAATTTATAGCCTAGATGTTAAGGATTACAAAGGGGGGTTACATCTGACACTCCCACATACAGATTTAATTGATTTCTTTCATAAATTGGAGTGACTGCTCTAAAATATGAAATACCAATGTTTCAGGAGTTTATAACATGCTTATTCGATAACTCTTTTATTTCCTATATGGGTTTATGCATATGCTTTGTTTTTTAAGTTTAACTGTTTTTTTCCAAGGCACAGTTAGATTTCAGTGTTTCCTGTCATATGCAAAGATTTGATTTCAAAAACAGTATCATAGCTATTAAACTATTTCTTGTTATGATTTTAAATCTATATTTAACCTCAGAAAGATCTTAAAGTAAGTCTGATTTTGTGGTGGCTGTGCTTCAAAGGGGACATCAGATGCCCTTTTTCCACAAGTTGGTATGATTCTTTAGGGCCTTTTTGAAATGGTCTCAGTGGTCGTGTATAACCACCCTTTTTACCTTGTCAAAAACAGCTCTGTTCACAGCGACTAGTTTCGGTGCATATCTCTTTACATGCTAATGAGCTCTGCTCACCCCGCCCCTCTTTTCTGTGGAAGTGCAAAGTTGATTCGCAAATAATCATAAAATATATAAAGTGTGAGACTTACTTCTTCTGGAGGTGCAGCTGGATCACGAACAATGGGTACTGATCCATCCTTGAGTTTCAACTTTTTAACAAAACCTGCCTTGAATTTGTCCCTCGTTCAGAAAGCAGTCAGGAGTAAATTGATTTGTGCGGACAGGTGTATTTGGTGGCATATTACCATGAAAATCAAAAACTAATCCACGATGTCCTCAGCGGCTCTGATGTTCTTTCTACATCCAACTACAAAACACCTGCATTGCTTACAAGACATTGTTGTCGCTACAGCTACCCTGCTGAGAAAATGACGGACTTCCTACAACTGGCTGAGTGCGGAAATATGCTAATACAGGACAGTACGTCAGCGGTCATGGGAGGGGCCTGAGCAATATGACATCATATTGCTCAGAAAATCAAAATGGCTTGATAATTGAGACTAGGTTTTTGGGGGATACAAAAGGAGTGAATGGATTTTTATTATTGTAGGGTGGTTGTGTCCACACACTGCTAAGACGATATTTTGCATATGAAGATATTTTGCATCCAATGTCCCAGCAAACATGCCCCTTTTGGGGCCCGTGTGGGCCCACTGTGGGCAAAAAAATCTTCCCCTCGCGGGCAGCCCGCTGTGGGCCCCAATACCGGCGTGAAATGCGGGGCACATGTGGGCCCCGCACTATGGGGCCTGGGTGGGGCCCGAGTGGGACAGCCCAAAGTGTGGGCTGGCCCACACAAAGCAGAGTGGGCCCCCAATGGGGCCAATTTTGGGCCTATAACATGCCCACAGGTATGTCCACACTGTGGGCTGGGTGTGGACACAGTGGGGAGAGTATGGGCTGGCTGTGGGCATAATGGGGGAAGTGTGGGTACACTGTGGGCTGGGTGTGGACACCATGGGGAAAGAGGGGGAATACTGTGGGCCAAAATTTGCCCTCTATTTGTCCTAAGTAGCGTCCCAGCTGAAAATGTGTACCTAGGGCCCCAGTAGACCTCACAGTATGCCCACACTTTGGAGGGAAATGTGGACATAAACCTGTGTAGGGCCTTTGCGGCCTTAACAATAACAAAACTTTGTACCTGCAGAATGCTGCAATATTACTATTAATGCACATGCAGAATAATTGCAAATGTTGAAAGTAGAAGAAATAAATTAAGAGTCATACATTTCAAATACTTTTGATGAAGTAATAAATTAAGAGTCATAAATTTCAAATACTTTCATTTATTCACGGCCATGTAAAAAATGCAGAAAATACACTGCTCAAAAGTTTTAAGGGGATTGTATTTTTATTTATTAATGTTTATGCTCTAATAAAGGACCAAAACATGTTGAGCTTTTTAAAAAGTTGCAAAATACATTAAGACAACAAAATGATGATCTCTGTGTGATAATGGGAGGAGATTGGAATTGTACTACTAATTTCTCATTAGACAGAAATGGAGAAGAAACTCACCCACAGTCTAGTCATGCACTTCTCAGTTTAACTAAAGAGTTTGAGTTAATGGACGTGTGGAGGGATAGAAATCAGATGATTAAACGAATAAACGGAATGAACACCAAAATGGTAAAATAATTAAATTTAATTAATTCATGTGCAATTTGAAAGGATATATCACAAGAGATTAACTTACCTCAGAAAACGATCTGAATGGGCTAGTCGGCCGTTATAACCGTTGGTCATTTAAAAACGCGACAAGCAACACTGATAATCAAAATAAAATGTGTGTAATTTAATTCCTATTAATTAATTCACAACCATTTTGACGAATTTTACAAATTTTTTAATAGAAAATTCAGAAATTAACTGAGAAATTAAAAAAAATCTTACCTGGTTGAGCAGAGCTGGGCGGTACAGTTGAAGCCGGAATGACAGCTCATTAACGATGCAGAGTTCCAGCAGTTCCAGCTCTCATTGGCTAGAATTAATCACGTGCTGAAGAGCTGACGCGCCATTTAATGTATTATTATTAAATATTACTTTTTACTTTTTTACTTTCAGAAATATTTAATAAATGATTACACCACTATCCAATACCAGCAATAACAATTCATAAATTAACAAATCAGTCAATGATCTGTTTATTCACATGGTTTTATTTAGTCAAATACATAAATGTTATTTAATAATAGCCTACAACGTATTAGAACAAAAACAATGTATACTATTATAATTTATGTATATTACATCATTTAAATGCAGTGACAAAATAGCACAAATTCATTATATATATATACATACACACACATATATATATATATATGTAGCTCAATATTAGTGTTGTCAAATTATTAATCGTAATTAATCGCATCCAAAATAAAAGTTTTTGTTTACATAATATATATGTGTACTGTGTATGCCTATATTTATTATGAATATATAAATACACACACATACAGTATATATTTCAGAAAAATATGTAATATTGGTATATTAAATATTAAATATTTATATATAATATAAATTATATAAATATATATATATATAATCTTCAATAATCGGCTAAAAACACATCTCTTCCATCTTTATTTGACTCTCAAACTCTAGCACTTTTTATTCTAACTCTATTCTTTAAAAAACAAAACTTGCCCCTTTTAAACTTGCACTCTATTAATTTACTAACTGCTTGTTTTCTTAAAAAAAATTATCAAAATAACTATTTTTATATAAAATTATTTTTGTATTTTATCTATTTATTTTCTTTTTATTTATTATACAATTAACAAAAGGAAAAAAGGCATTGACCCGTTTTATTTGTATACACAAGCATTTACAACCTAAATGGGGACATTCCATAGACTTCTTTGTGTTTCTATATAATTAAATAAATATTATGACCTAACCCTGACAGAAAACATATGGTTGTACCAATAGGGAACTATCTATTGTTAACTGCAAAAATGCTGTTTGAAACATGAGCATGCCAAAATGCATGCCAATGACACGTTTGTGAGATTTACCACTTCATGTGGTTTTTAAATCTTCAGTGGTTATTGTTTCAAGTTGGGTTTGGTTTCATTTGGGTGGGGGAAGGTGTCTTAGTCCCATCTCAAAAGAGGACAGAGATGACCGCAAGAACAAAGTAACTGTTTGCATGCTTGTGAAAAGAACAATAGAATACTGTGATTGGATGACAGCAGTGACCTCTGGTCACATGTTCTTTAGATCTCCCACAGCAACTGGACTTTCACCACTTAGTGAATGTTTTGATATTGATTTGTTTCACACAGAAACTGCCTGGCTGCTACCATAGCAAAGTTTCTATTTGACATGCCCAACATACAAGTCTTTTTTTTCTCCCCCTCCCCAGAGTTCACTAGAGGTCTGAATTGTTTATCATGAATACCATGGTTTTACAGCCATGATGGACAATATTCACATACAAATCTTGCTTTTTCTCTTTCAGTATCACTGGAGCGGTGAGAACTGGGTGCTTCATGTTGTACATGCTCAGAACCAGTGGTTTTAAACAGTCTGTTTGTGATCAGAGCTTCTACTATGGGCCGATAAGCAAGTTTTGGGCTTGTGCTTTTGTGCTGAGCAAGGCCCCAGAGCTAGGTGAGCCTTTTCTTATTCATTTATTTTGGGATAAATCACCATAAATGACCATTCTGTCATCATTTACTCACTCTCATGTTGTACCAAACCTGCATGACATTCTTTTGTGGAATGGAAAAGAAGATACTTTGAATGTTATAATGAAAGTCAGTGGGGTTCAAAACAACACTGGACCTCACTGACTTCTAATGTAAGGACCAAAAAAAAAATCGACCCAATTTTGGGTGCTAAATTGACACAATTTTCATTTTTAGGTTAATTATCTCTTTAATTGTTTGTAATTTTGCCAAATATTTTTGCACTCATATTTGAACCCTTTTTACACACATCCTCACTTTTTCAGGGGACACCATGTTCATCGTCTTGCGGAAGCAGCGGCTGATCTTCCTGCACTGGTATCATCACATTACTGTGCTGGTGTACTCCTGGTATTCCTACAAAGACCAGGTCGCTGGTGGTGGCTGGTTCATGACCATGAATTACACCGTGCACGCGCTCATGTACAGCTACTACGCGGCTCGAGCTGCTGGACTCCGTGTGCCGAAACCCTGTGCCATCATCATCACTTCCTCCCAGATTGCTCAGATGGCCATGGGACTGGCAGTAAGTGCGCTAGTGTACCAATGGATGCAGGATGGGGATTGCCCTTCTTACATAGATAACATAGTGTGGGCTTCACTCATGTATCTCAGCTATCTGCTCCTCTTCTCTTTTTTCTTTTATCAGTCTTATGTGAAGGGTTTAAAACCCACAAGCATCAAAACTGAGTGATATGCAGCCCTGAGGTTTGAATATGAGATTTTATTTCTGATGGTTTACCTTGGTAAAATACATATTTATTTCATGTTTTAAAGCAAGGTGAACAATGAAGATGTGTGTATATATTTTCAAACAACAGCCAGACTGTAAAAGCTATATGAAAAGAACAATAGATTAGGGCAGTTATTTGTATATTATTTTCTAGATGGTATTAGCTGAGCAAAGCGCTTTAAATACAACTCTTGATTTTGCTGTTGAGAATTTAAATGATTTTGAAGAACTTCCAGACATTTTTGGAGGGTGATTTGAATCCTATGGGTCCTCTATGACCCCGCCCCCCCCCAGTCTTACAGGCCACAGTTTCTTATCGTCAAAAGTCCATGTTTACTCTTTGCAGACTTGATAACATGGCCTGAACCCAGCTGAAACATATGGTGTATGTTGTAGCGAGAGCCAAGATCCTTGTAATCTGTGCTCGTAGTCAAAGAACAAGTGAGCAATTTGTCTAAAATTTCTAAAATTCATCCATTCTGTACATGCTCTTCTGGGTGTGTTTTTATTGCTGCATACTAGTTCAGTGTTTCCACCTCATGATGTCACAGAAACGTGAATTATCCGTGCTGGCTGGTTGGACAGGTTCTCAGACATTTAAATTGGCCATTTTTGGCTGGAATTCTCTAGATTCACTGAAGTTACATTATATAAAACCAGCTGAGGAACGATTGATATTCTCTCATTCACCTTTGAATAACACATGGGTAGAGTCGGATTGAAATGGTTCATTCCTGGTTTTGTGGCTGTACTGGATTGGTGCTTGATAGAACAGTTAACCTTTACCTGTCCCTATATTGGTGCTACTTGAGTTGTTACTTGAATCATTAGTAAAATGCACAGTTGTATTTATATATTTCTTGTATATGACACGGTCACATTTGGGACATAATTAATTTTTATGGTTGTGGGGATATTTATTTTTCCATTGAAATGACTATGATAAGGTTTCCATCTTGATCTTTTAAAAAAAATTTGTATTAGCCTATGTGATAGTAGAGAACAATCCTTTGAGAATATTCAGTGGAATTATGCGCTCTAAATTGGTATCATCTGAAATGTTGCTGCTACCATCCAAGATTTTTGTTGTTGTCTGTCCTCTGGTCTCTCCTGTCTGTTCCTGTGAAAGACTGAAAGATTTTGTCTACCTTTGTGTATTTCAGTTTAAAGGATATTTTGATTAAGAGATTTTATGACATTGTCTTAAAGTATGTTGGAGATGGAAGCCAAATAATTACTTTGTTGTATTAACTGCAAAGTTGAATGTAGTGGTACTAGCCTACATTACAAGGCATAGTATACAACTTCTGTATTTAAAAAAAAGAAGAATGTAATGTAATAAAGGAGCCGAATGTAAATATTTATCTCCTGTACAAGTTCTTAGCTGATATGAAGAAATTATGATTGTGTATTTATTTTTGTCATTAAATAAAAGTGTGTGTGTGTGTCATTCTGTTCAATTTTTTTTTTCAGCTGACCGGTTTTCTGAGCTAAGATTACATATTTTACGCATTAACACATACATACTTTTGTTGTTAACAGGAAGTTCACACATTTCCAGCTCTGTGATAGATGTAAACTTAGATAGATGTAAACTTAGATGCAGGTCGGTATCATTTTCATTTTTTCATTTCAATTGGGCCAGTAGAAGAAAGAGCTGCTCTAGTTGAATATGACTCTGGAAGCCTCTTCAGAAATTATTTCTTCATCACATTCTTTAGTAGCCAAATAATTACTTTCTTGTATTAACTGCAAAGTTGAATGTAGTGGTACTAGCCTACATTACAAGGCATAGTATACAACTTCTGTATTTTAAAAAAAGAAGAATGTAATGTAATAAAGGAGCCGAATGTAAATATTTATCTCCTGTACAAGTTCTTAGCTGATATGAAGAAATTATGATTGTGTATTTATTTTTGTCATTAAATAAAAGTGTGTGTGTGTCATTCTGTTCAATTTTTTTTTTCAGCTGACCGGTTTTCTGAGCTAAGATTACATATTTTACGCATTAACACATACATACTTTTGTTGTTAACAGGAAGTTCACACATTTCCAGCTCTGTGATAGATGTAAACTTAGATAGATGTAAACTTAGATGCAGGTCGGTATCATTTTCATTTTTTCATTTCAATTGGGCCAGTAGAAGAAAGAGCTGCTCTAGTTGAATATGACTCTGGAAGCCTCTTCAGAAATTATTTCTTCATCACATTCTTTAGTCTGTGATGTTTTAATATTAAATAACGTGACAAAAACACTCTCTGGAACTGGAAGTATTCTGGGCCCATTTTTCCACTAGCAGACAAAAATGTGGTTAGGCACTAAACAGCCGTACATTGACCCCAGTGTTCTTCATGACTAGCCAGTCAAAAACTTGCCATTAGGCGACACTTCTCATCGCCCCGCTGGAATCATAGGTTAATTGACTTGCTCGAGGGTACAGCAGCGGAGATGCTGTGAAATTGAAATTTTATTAACTCTTTAGTGCCTGGTTGTTCCCTAACACACCACACACATGTATGGCCAGAAATGTTTTGTTTCTTTTGCCAGCTACAGACTCACCCAGTGATGAGAGAACGGAGTGTTGTAGTAATGACATATTGTTGTAGACCAACCAGGACGTTAGCATTACCCTGGTTCACTTGACAGAAACCCCAGGATTTAAATAGATTTTGGATTATTGCAGAAAATAAGCTCTGTGACAAACCAAAGTTTATGATTCTTGCATGTTTTCCTCATGACAATATACACAAATTTAAACATCTTTTGAAGACTTAATACAATCAGAACCCTTACGAAAATTGACCATGGTTTTACAAAAAAAAAAAACATGGTTAATTTTCATAAGGTAAGTAAATATCTAAACATAACTATAAATGACTTCACCGTCACCACCATTATAAAAGCTTCTAATACCCAAGTATCACTGATGTAGCTATTTTATGTCATAGAATAAAACATGAAAATATCTTGAGCGCTTGTTTTTAACCACAGACCTTATATCAGGCATTTAACCAAAAACCTTTTAAAAGCCCACTGACTTGGACGATGAAACCAGAAGTGCTAAAATGCCATCTCATGTCCAAGTTTTGGACTACAAAACACGAAATCCCTGCAGTACTCTATGGACTCAATGTAGGGTGAATTTGGGTAATCTGGGACATTTTTTGCAATTTTGACTTCTGCTATTTATTTCGATATCTATCTAACACATTAGATCAACACATTAGACTTTTCTGAAATCCCTAAGATGTTTTCTAACCACACCAGAAGAAAGAATGTTGATATTATACCCAGAGGAGACATGCCACACCTAATAGTGTTTTTTGTGCCAAAAAAAAATTGTGCCTGAATTTGATAATCTGGGACAGGTCACTTTGTAATCTGGGACATATGTATTAGGTCTAAAAAAAAACTATATTCACCATACTTTATGCATGCCAAACACAATATCACCAATTTTTAAAAAGCATTATGAAAAAAATGACAAGTACAGAAATCTCAGTAAGGAAATGTATATTTCAATATCAAGAAAAATTATTTCTTTCTGTACACAGGATGACCAATCTACTGTGTTAATTAATTTTAATAAATGTAAAACTATTAAAATTGTTTAACATTTGTTTAACATTGTATTAATATACCTATTAGCCAATCTACTATTCCAGGGGTTCTCAAACCTCTCCATGAAGTACCCCCAGCACTGCACATTTTGTATGTCTCCCTATATCTGAAACACCAACTTCAGGTCTTGCAGTCTCCACTAATGAGCTGATGAGTTGAATTAGGTGTGATAGATGAGGGAGACATACAAAACGTGAAGGGCAGGGGTGCGTGTGTTTGTAAACTGGCCTGGGCACAGATCCCCCTCCTGCTCAGTGATTTGAACCGTTGTATATATTGTATATAC